GGGGGAAATTTGTCAATTCCTTATTATTGTTTGAGAATATTTTTCTTACTCTCTTTCATATTCCACATAAAAGGGTAATAGAAAACTTTCTACTGTTTGAAATGTTAATTTCATCCAATGGGATGTGTCCAAGGGGTGGCTTTTGTTTATGTTAATTAATATTGAATGTTTGAGTAACTGCTTTTTTTTTTCTTTTCATATGTATTACTTATTTTTATGTTTATTTTCATAAAGGCACAAGCAAGGTTCGAAATTTCGCTCGATACGTCGACATGTCGACGGTCTCGACATCGACATGAGGAGAGAAAATCGTTTTTCTCCAAATGTCATCGACATGTCGACCAAATGTCAAGGAGATATCGACCAAATGTTGATTTTTTCTTTCATTGAATCCTTAAACGATTGAGAAATCACCGTGGCCTTCTAGTTAGTTGAGACTTAGAGGAAGATATGTTGTTTTTAAAGAAAAAATCTATATCGAAAATTTTGAATCCAAACCTTAAAAAAAAAAGATTTCTATTCGAAACGTGTTTTCAGTTTTGTCTAAATTCAAAGCATATAGAAGAACAAACAGAAAAGTCGAAAATAATACTAAAAAAGTATACGACAGGACATTTTCTATTTTTCTTTTAAAGAAATTAAAGTTAAATTCTTATCATCTTGGTTCAAAAAAGAAAAAAAAACAAACGTCAAATTAAATTTAACTATAAAAATCTAACAAAATCTTAAAGAAATAGATTATAAATCATCCATTTATAAAAAACTTAATTTAAATTAAATTTAACTAAAAATCCTAACAAAATCTTAAAGTAATTGATTTAAAAGAAAAAAAATTAATTAAATTTAACCGAGGAAATCTTAAAACACAACAAGTAATTAAAATAAATTTAACTAATTATTATTAACCATTTAAATTTTAGAAAAATTTAATTCTAATCTTTTGATTCAAAAAATAAAAAAAAACAAACGTTAAACTAGATTTAACTAGAAAAAAAATCTAATAAAATCTTAAAGGAACATATAATCGATTTTAAAAAAATTAATTAAATTTAACTAAAAAATCTAACAAAATCTTCAAGTAATTGATTAAAAAGAAAAACGCATTTTAAATTAAATTTAACTGACCAAATCTTAAAACAAACTAATAAAAGAAAATCAATTTAACTAATTATTATTAAACATTTAAATTTTAAACTAAATTTAATTTTTAAAAATTATTTCATACTTTATACATATCTATATTTCACATATTTTATTCAATTAGGTAACTAATTGAGTTAGAAATTATTAATAAAAAAACAACATTAAACTTTAATTTACTAAATAATTTTCATATATGTATACATGATTTTATTTCAACATTTTCATCGTGACGATATTTTTATAAGTATATTATTATATGGTTAGATATGATGGGTTAGAAGTGATTAGTTATAAGCTAATTAAGGTACAATTAAAGTATTATTTACTAATTTAAAAAAATTTCCACCAATATCTCATGTCCATCGACATGTTCGTAAATCAAGACCTCTCGACATTTCCATCAACATTGACATTTCGAACCTTAGGTACAAGTTAAATTGATAAGAAAACAATAGCCAATTGGATCTAAGAACCCTTATGGTTATGCAAACCCCTAGATCACAAATGCTAAAACCCCCAAATCGAGATGATGTCAACCCAAGGAAGAAGTTAGAATGGATTTACCTTGAGGATCAATATCAAGAGTAGAGAAAACTTGTTTCTAAACTCAAGATTCGAACCACTCCACAAATAGCTTGATCAAGACTACTTGAATGATTCTAGCATGCAAATCTAACACTCAAGAATTGCAAAGAAAAACAAGCTCTAGGCTTTTTGAAGCAAAATAGCAACTTCATTCAATCATCAAAATCCGTCTTTCAAAGAAAACAAGCTAGGCTATTTATAGCCTCCAAAACAACCCTAAAAGTAACCTAAAGGCATTTGAAAGGTTGTAACTCCCAATTACATGATGGCCATAACATCCACTAGCTAAAATGTAACTTAAAACACATAAATGAAATGTTTAAAACTGAAAATATAATAAAAAGAGGTTTAAATCCGAGAATTGAAGTCTTGGTCACCCTTCAAAGTCTTTGTAACCTCCCAATTATAAATGAAGTTTCACTTGAAGTAGTTTGAAGTGTAGTTCCATTAATTGATGGATAACTTGCAATAAATGAAGCTTGAGATGCACTTAAGTTTATTTAATGCAACTTGAGTTCCTTGAATTGAACTTGGCTTTATTGAATGCAACTTGAGTTAAACTCCACTTCAACTTCAGCTCCTTTAAATGAACTTAGAGTTCATTTAATGCAACGCCTCCTTTAAGCTCTACTTGGAAGACATTGACTTGAAAAGTTTCATCTCTCTCTTGATCATCCCTAGCTGAGCTCACCAAGTATTGAACATGAGAAAGTAAAGCTTGTTGTAGCTTCTTGGCTCTTGATCTCGTTATGGGTCCTTGAGGCATGACAATGGTGCTTCCTTGGTTCACATCATAAATGCATAGTGAAATTTAAACAATATAAAGTATATGAAAATGTACAACATAATTTAATATACTTGAAAATTCTTCCCTAAAGTAAAATGTATGAGATTTGTGTGAATTTATTCCCTATAATTTTAAAAGTTTTATTTTAGTCCTGGTATACTTTTGCTAACTCGTCTACCGACTTTGTCACTTGTCCATAATATTAATCTAAATAAGAAATTAACTTTTAATTTCTTTAATTTAGATATATATGCATTGATTTTACTGTTCATTAGCGTGGACTTACTAATTTCGTTTTAGCTTTTTAGCTTTCTCATTGAGATTACACCATTTACTAGTGATTAAAGGTTATATGTCAGATCCAACTAAAATAGGGATTTAACCTTAAAGAGTTAAAAGTGTTCATTAGTTAGAACTTATACAAGTGGCAAAAGTGAGAGATCGACTTATTGAAAGAGGACTAATCAATCTCCTAAGAGAGGTTTCTGTTAGATTCACTGAAGCTTCAGCTAGTTCGTTCCCTTCATAATTAACATGGGCTAGGAGTATTACTCGCAATGATTATGACCAATTTATCTCGACGTCTCTTACGTCGTATAGATAGTGAAAGAACAATTGAAGAAAACTAGGACAACTTTGATCGAACAAAACGAGATTCTAGTACAAAGAGACGTTGTAGAGATTGTATTGCAACCCCAATGCTCAATAAAAGTAGTCTATCGACCTCCAAAATTGGAAGAATTTCGAGAAGTGAAAGTATTAAATATGAAAAGTATAATTTAGTAGTATATTTAATTTGGATCCTAATTAAATTCATACTAGATAATTAAGTTTTAGAAATGTAGTGTGCTAGATGTATTTAATTTGTACAAAAAGTATATATGACAAACTTACGATAAAGTCTAGATGGTTCCAACCTTTCTTTTCTGAGTTCAAATCCTCTAACTTTTCGTTCAAGAGACATAATTAATTATTTATTAATTATTATTAAAGATTTCATTAGAGCTACCATTTCTACACTAAATGAGATGATGAAGATTTGATTTATATAATGGATAGCAAAGTCAACTCATAGACATGTTTGATTAATGAAATAATTAAGAAAAACTAATTTGTCAAGAACATGAATGATCATGTCTTCATGTCACTCAACATATTGATTACACTTGTCAAATCCTTGGTTATAGAGTTAATTAATGATAAATATTATGTTTGGAAGTTTTTATATATTATTAGACGACAAATGTAAAATTTAAAATTGGAAGGACAAGAAAATAAATATATTGTTATTATATGCTTAATTTCTATTGATAAATCGAGTGCGGATAGTAGTTGAGTTATCCTTTCCGTACTTTTTGATGTCAATGGGAGTGATAGGAGTGATGGGATCAGGTCAACTCTAACTAAACTTCAAAAGTTGATTGTAATTTGTTGTATAAATGAGTAAATGCATTAAATTATCTCAACTAGATCCACGTTAATATAAATTAAACACATCCTAATCTAACCTATCACATAATATAAAATTATATAAAATCAAAGTGATTGTCTATCATAACTATCCAATTTTACTTGACATTCTTCATTGATTGTAAATTAAAACAAGAGAGAGAGAGAAAAAGGTAGATTTTGAAGATAGAAAAATTATTGTAAAAACAAAAAACTTGTTAAAAAAATTAAATTAAAAAATAAGTCAAGATATTTTAATATTAATATTATATCTACATTAGTGATACTTCTATATTTTATCGATTTTTTGAGATATTATAGAAATGTCAATTGAATCTATGGATATATAATGTGTCAACAAGTTGAAAAAACTCACTAATATAGCTTAGTAGTAATTAAGATCTAAAAAAAGTGAATAGAAACTTGTCTTTTACTCGATAGTAATGAAAATTTTGAAGTTATGTTGATTAATATTAGATATCTGGTAAATGATATCAAAATGGGGATGTAGCTCAAATGGTAGAGCAGAGGCACGGGGTTCGATCCCCCGCATCTCCAATTATGTTCTTTATATTTTTGTTTCTATAAAATTATTTTATAACTTATTTTATATTTTTGTTTCTATAAAATTATTTTATAACTAACTTAAAATAAATTAGATTCTTATATTTTTACTTTTGCTTTTGTTAATCTTGGTCCTTATATATTTTTCTTTTCATTTTAGTTATTGTACTTTCAAAATGAAAAAAAAATGAAAATATAGAGACCAAAATAAACGTTTTAAGTATAATAAATACGAGAGTAAGAATAATCAAAACATAGCTCGAGTTCGATCCTACAACTCACATGTTCGAGTTCGATCCTACACCTCACATGTTGTACTTAAAAAACACATAGTTAATTTCTTTTATCAAATAGATACAACCGATAACGAAAATATATATATATATATAAAAATATTGTATATAAGATTTTATTAAATAAAATAAAAAATGAACCAGTAATTTTCCACTTAACAGTTACAAGACCTCGCTGTTCGTCACCTACACGTGAAATAAGAAAACCCCGATAATAAGTCGTCTTCCTCTGCTCCACTGTGGCTTTCGCGCTCAAAAATTGAAATTACAACCATCTTGATCTTCTTCCAATTGATCGCTTTCAAATCCTCTTCCAATGGCGTCCCTGTGATGAAATTGGAATCGGACCAACTTCACTCTGCAAAACATTCGACCCTGTGAGCTCCAGTTCTCCGGCATTACCAAGCCCTAGAATTCGGGGCAACTCTGCCATGGATGCCAAGGATATCTTGGGCCTGCCCAAAACTACGCCGCCTATACCCCAGGACAAGAAACCTAGGGCTCAGAAGGATGCCCAGAGGAAGCGAGATGGTATTTCTCGAGAGGTAATGTCTTCAGTCTTCTCTTTGTGCGTGTGCGTTTATATGATTGCTACTATTTACAGTAGTGATGCTGGGGTTTTCGAATTGTAGGTTTACGCGCTTACTGGTGGTCTGCCGCCTATTATGCCGGCAATTGATACATCTGAGCTGAAAAAACGTCCTCCATCAGACGAGAAGGTTTTTTTTTCGTACTTTTTTGTTTAATCAAGTCTTTTAAGGCTGGACAATGGTGAATTGGTTTATTTATATTTAATGGCAATCTGGAATTGCTCTGTTTGTTAACGTAAGGAGTTTGGGAATCCCATTGTATTTGAATGCTTAATTGTGTTATTGAATTGATTTGGAATGCCAACTACTTTTTCTTTGTCACTCAAGTGCTTGGCTGTTAATCGGGTATCTTACATTCTATTGATTTTGAAATATTTAATCATCGTGTATCGTTCTTATAATGCGCTTCTGATTTTCCTTCAGATTACGTGGCAGTGGCTTCCTTTCACAAATTCTGCTAGAAAAGACAATTTGCAGCTTTACCATTGGGTATGTTTTGGGATCTTCATGAATCAGGGATATTTCAGTTTTTTTTTTCTTTTCTTTTCTTGTTCAAATCGATGTTTCTCTCCTTACCACCCACTTTTTTCATTTGTAGGTTAGAGTTGTAAATGGCATTCCGCCAACAGGTGACTATTCCTTTGCAAAGTATAACAAGGTAAGGCCAAGTCCTTCTTTTTTATCTTTTTTTTTTTGGGTTATGTTTTCAAGTTAAAATTTGAAATTTAAATGTTTTTCATGCTTAGATGAAAACGAAAAATTCAACACTCCCATCAACATCCATTGCTTTGTTTGTGATTCCAACGTGTCAATAGTGTTCTTTTTGATATATTGGTAACTTCTTGAGATATATCCGTTGGCTAAGGCCTGTAGTCTTCAAGTAATACGGATCCAGAGGCTACGTGTTCGAATCTTCGGGGGAGCTTAATAAGGAAAACTCTTGGTGTCTCAAGAGTTTGGGTCTTGAGCCTGGAGCATACTTGAGAAAAGCAACAATAAAGTTTCAATTTTTTTGTAAAGTTTGATGAATATTCTTGAAATAATCTAGGAAATCAAGAATTCAAAATATTTATATATAGATATGTATTCCACACTTTTTACCTATGCTAAAAATCCTTTTCAGTGGTCTTAATTTCATATTGGTGATTTTTCTATCGACACTTTTGATATTTCATTGGCATTTTTGGTAGACTAAAAATACTGATCGACCCTGGTGATGAACATTTTATTCCCTGGTTGCCAGAAAAGACCCTCCCACTCCTGTCTCTTTTTAACTCATTATCCAATAACCTGGGTACTTTGGTTCTTACTCTTGGCTAGTGCATAAATTCCACAAAATAAAAACGACCGAGAGTGCCATTTATCTACTTGTCTGTCCAACATCTCATTGTCAGTTAATATCCAAATTTAAAGCATGATCTCTCACAAAATACACCTTGACATTTGGCAACAGATGATAATGGAGTATTGAAAGTTATTAGAATGGTGAACTTGCTTTGTAGGATCCCTGGCCATAAAGCTTCTTCTCTTGAATAACGAATATTATTTTTTAGAACTGTATTTGTTGATACCTTGGATTTTGCTTGCAATTAGAATGTTTCCTAGTACTCACTGATAATTTTATATTTTCAACAATTGTAAAAATATATTTAATAATGAAACACCAATATCTAAATTTCTTATTGTTAATCAAATGTATACTATTTTTTAAATTTGGTGCAGTCAGTTGACGTTGTCAAATACACGGATGAGGAGTATGAGAAGCATTTGAACGACCCGGTATATCTGTCCCTCATTTTTAATGAAGAGCACAGAACTCTCTCTCTCTCACTCACTCTCACTCACACACACACAATTCATGATATGTAGCATTTTTTTATGCGAAAAATGTTGGCCTTCGAGGCTCTTTAGGTTTACAGCTAAGGATTTTGAGTTGCAACACTCTCATGGCTCCAGTGTTTATATGCTATATAAAAACCTATCCTTATTCTCATACCATGTAACCATATTTTCCACATACATATCAAGTTTATGTTAAACCTTGAAGGGTAAATGTTTCCTATAAGAAATTATTGCCTTTTTTTTCCGTTTTAGCGTTAGCACTTTCTACGGATCTTATTTCTGATAGCAATATTCTTTTTATTATTTTTTGAAGACATAGTAAGTAGGGAGATCAAAGAGGGGAAATATGTGGTCAATTTTAAATGAATATAGTGATGAGTTTTTTTAGAGAGAGCTATTCAATAATGCTCAAGCATGGAAACTAAACCTTTAATCTAGTTTTTAGAAGAAATCTTAAAATTTTCAATAATACGGAAATAGAATGGATTGAGGTTTTCAAAATAGCTAGATTTTAATGCTCTCGGTGATGCTCATTAATTAATTCTCAGTAATTATTCTCCTTCTATAATTAGTCTTGATTGTGGTGCCCTTTTGAGCTTCTACAGCACCTTCGACTTGATTTAGACATTCCAATACCTTTTTCCTTTGTCGCATCAAGCCTTTTCTACCTATTTATTAAATTGGAGCATGCCTGTTATTTATTTTTTTGTCAGTCAGATGCTTTCTCCCCTCATCAGTTTTGGGCATTAATGAAACCTTGTCTTACTGGTTGAGGTCCAAATGAGTAAGCACCGATTTGATCACTTGAAAGTCAACATTACCTTGGGATGGACAATTTTCAGATGCACTATTGCACTTAAATGTTCTAGACTCTAGATTACAGTTCTAACTCACACTCTAGCATAGTTATTAATTCAATCTCATATTGTTGTGGTTGAGATATATACTTTTTAAAAAAATTTCAGTTGTGGACGAAGGAGGAGACAGATCAATTATTTTACTTGTGCGAACGGTTTGATCTTCGCTTCATTGTGATAGCTGACAGGTTTTCATCAACTAGGACAGTGGAGGAACTGAAGGAGCGATATTATCGTGGTATATTTACTTTTTTGGTCTATAATGACAAGCACTTCTTGTTTGCTCTTCTGTTGCCAATTTGTGTTATTGATTTATAATTTGCTTGTTATGGATCATTTGCTAATGCATTTGAGATGATTGAAAACTTATACTACTATTATATGTTTATAGCATCTAGAGCAATTATGGTTGCTAGAGCACCAGTGTCTCGCGAGGTTTCAGGGAATACTCTCGTCAAGGTAGGTAGTTTTTGAATTAGGTCTGTTGCGTTGTTACCTTTTTAGGTCAGAGTTCTTGCATATTAATTTCCTCGAACAGCTCAATGGAGCTACCTATGGTTTAGGTTGCGTAGAAAATTAATGAGCTGTATGATTTTCATGTTTATTCTTTATATGTAGGATCCTTACAATGTCTCACATGAGATTGAGCGGAAACGGGCATTGTCCATGGTTCTCTCCCAAACAAAACAGCAAGAACGAAAAGATGCAGAGGTCTCGATTCTGTTATGTTTTAATAAATACCCAATAATGAATTAATGTTCATGTGATTAAGTATAAGTCCTTGTATGTTGCTTTTTTGACTATTTATTGTTTCAGGTTCTTGCTGAAGCAAAAAAGATAACTGAATCACGCAGAGCGGAAAGAGTGAGTTCAAGTCGTATATGCTAAATTCTCTTTTTAGGCATAGCACATGAATGCACAAAGCTGAATCTTGTGAGTGTTTTTTTGTATTATTGGCATATCATATCTATAGCTGGTTTATGATCTTGTTAGGTGGCTGAAGAATCTGAGTTGCCTGTTGCATCCAATGTTGTTCCAGAAGTTGCTGAAAGGGCTGTTGTTCCTGGAGATTCTGTACCATCTTTATCCAATGTGCAGCCCTCTCCTCCGGCAGCTGCACCTTCAACTTTAGGGGCAGATAACGCTTCAACTCTGGCTTCCCTTCGCATGGTATATTGCCCAAAGGAGTCATTTATAGGCTTTACTTTAGAAGCATTTTGTAGCTTCATTCCTTTCTTTTTTTTTTTAATTTAATTTTATTTTATTCTGATAGTTCTGTCAAGAGGTTTTTGTGCTGGATTTTTCTCTCAAATCTTAATTGATCTATACCAACATATAAAATTTGAGCATGCGGTCTGTTGACTGATTCCTACATTTCAGCTTCCTGTGTACTTGAGAACGTATGCACTTGAGCAAATGGTACAAGCTGCAAGTTCATCCGCTGGGCTTCGGACGATCAAGCGAGTTGAACAAACATTACAAGATCTCTCGGTTAGTTAAAAATCCAGTTTTTGTTTAATGCAAATACTAGTTTTCTCATAAAGTAGTGGATGGTGGAAGATTTAATCCTTATATCAACCACATAGCAGCTCGTGAGAAGAGAGAAAAGACAAAGCAGATTAGAAGCTTTTCTCTATGTTTTGAATTTATACTCTTTCCTCTTTGGCTACACGATCGTTCTCTGATTCTCCGTGTCTTGATGTTGTAAATAAGAGCACCCAAGTAAAATATTGCTGCTGGTGGTATATGTTATTTCCTTGAGGTACAAAAATATATTCCAGTGGAAGTACGAGTACACTTATAGCTATTTCGTGACTTGAATCGAGCATATTGTGTTTTTTGTGTCTCCGTTAAACTTTCTTCAGTACTCATTTTCCCCTTTGTGCTTTTCATATTCTACAGATACATAGTTGAATAATTCACTCACAAAGGGATCTATTTTTTAATTTGTGAATAGGTTAATCTAAAACCCAGGGTTCCAACAAAAGCTGTCTGTGCAGAGCATCTTGAATTAAGAAAAGAAATCTTGACTCTACTGAATCTTCAAAAGCAGGTGTAGTTATCTTTTATCCATATGCACGTCCCAGCTGTAGCATATGTATGTGCATCAAACTTCCATTATATACCGCTCATAAGCAGTGGATTTAATTTCTCTTTTCTTGTCATACAATAAAAGTTCTCATTGAAGGAACAGCTTGTTAATGGAATTGGCTTACATCAGATGCTAGATGTAACATGGTTAAGTCTGATTTTTGTTTTACTTTTCTGTTTCTTCCTAATCAGTTGCAAAATAAGGAGGCAGAAGGTTCATCTTTCCGTGACAGTCCATACAACGATGCACCTGGCACACCCAAGGTCAGTAAATGTACTCGCTTACGTGAGTACTTTACTTCTCTCCAATCTGTGAATCTGTGAATCTTTAAGTCTTCCTTTACTAACAGCATTCTGGTCATGCTCTCGTGCAGGATCGCTCATTTATTCCTGATTCTGTGAATTTTGGAGGTAAATATAACTTCTACATTTGGCATCACTGCTTGCATCTCTTTCAAGAATTTTTTCCCCTTTTGTTAAGTGCTACCACTAGTTCAAGTTATTAGAAGCTATCTAGTTTCAATTAGTGTTTTCAAAGTGTAACTCCTTTTTCTCCTTTTGTATATTTCATACTATTGATGAAATATGTGTTTTTCATTCAAAAAAAAAGTGTAAAATTCATTCTTTGCAACCTGCTCCTCACTTGCAAAGAGGTGAGATACACAACAAACAAAGCATCAGCTTGCTGAAGCATGACACCTTAAAGTTAGAGGTTTTAAAGAATAAAGTCTTTTTTCTTATAAAAAAAATAAAGAATAGAGTTTTTTTTTTTCTTTCTGAAGATCAATAATTATCCCCCTGATATATATAACGTACAAGAGGAAAGACAAAAGAAGGCCTACAACTTTACAAGCCTCCTATTGGAACAAGTGGAATTTATGGAATAATTACAAATAGTTATTGAGATTCTACAAAACCAGTAACTTCTCAAATAATTTATGGTTGTGAATCAAATTAAAATTGTGTAGTTGCAATTTTAGAGGAAGATTTTGTTGCTTGAAGTAGTTCTATTCACTCTTTGGTCTTTTTGGCTAAATGGTTTCAGTAGAGGCAATGGGAGAAAATTTAGGAGAGTTATTTATACATCTTCTTGTTGTAGTTTATCCAAATCCTTATGTAATTATTCTATCTCCTCTAACTTAGCCAATTGAAGAGTGTTTATTTTCTGTAACTCCATTACTTCGGGTATTTTGTACATTTAATTCTTCAATGAGATTAGTTCCTATCTTAAAAAAGAAAAAAAGGAAAGAAAATTAAAATGGATGTTCATATCTATTCAGATTTAGTCCAGTTCTAGGATTTGACGGTGAAGTTCATGTCATTCCCCTTGAAAGGAATTTGATTATTTTTTTTTTTTTTGCGCTCGTGGAAGTTCATTTACATGTATCTTTTTCTTCTGATAGGGGAAAGGTTTGTCAAACGGGATCAGAAACGTAAGGTATATTTCTCAACCATTATCTTGTTACTTATTAAGTTTTCGCTGCTCTGCTCTGCTCTTTTTTTTTTAAAAAAAAAGAAAAGCCGAGCTGCTTTGTATTTTGTTTGGTGTGTCAAATTCATTTTTCTCTCATCATTTATTGTTAGGCCACTGGAAGACTGTCTGAAGCTCCATCATCACCAGCTCAATCTAAAAGGCCAAGAAAACAGAAGGGATCCGATCTGTGATTCTCCAGATGTGTAAGAAATTTCCCACATATGGTTGTATCTCTAGTATTGTATGCCTAAAAGTCCTTTTCTTTTTTGCAATTTGCTCTCTCTTTTTCATTCATTTTGAATAAAAAGGTTAACATACCATTTTAGGCTTTAGCCACTGAGACTTATTCCATTTTAGTCCCGAATTAAATTTAGCGACCTACTTTCAATAAATATTAAGGCTATTCTTAAAGTTAGTCTCATCGATAGTTTGAAGTTATATTTTTATCTGATTTGACAAAATAACAATAATAATAATAATAATTTTCATTTAAGAAAAGATACATCATGAATATGATTCTCACCTTTATAGAGGGAAAACTTACAAGGAGTAAATGCTTTTAGCAGAAGTTAACACAGGTTTCGGTAGGGACCAATTTTAAGGATTTATTGTCGTACTCGTACATGGACTAAATTTGGACATTTAGAAGTACAAGTACTAAAATATAAAAATTCACAAAGTATTGCTCCCTTATACCTGGGGCATTCGTGTCCGTCTCCAAGGCCCAAACTCGAGAGACATTAAGGAAACTTATCCGAGGTTCGAGCTTGAAACCTCTAAGCTAGTACAACCAAGTGACTCCAAGCCCTTGTCAATAGGACCGTCCCATAGGACTAAGTAAAAAACCTCCTTTCCTCCCTTCATTTGCTGCTTCTGAATTTGAGATATCAATGAAAAATTCTGTTTCTTTTACTTCTAGAAAATTGAGATATTGATGGTATTTGGATACATATAGGTAGGGGAGCCTCTCCTGATGGGCTTGTGTCTTTGTATGCTCTTTGTATGTTCGCTCATTTTTCTCAATGCAACCTCGGTTTCTTATAAAAATAAATAAAATGAAATATAAAATGCTAATGCTGGAGCAGGTGGCTTTCACTGGAAACTACGGCCTTTTGGAGCACCATTTTATGAACTGCACTTTGGTGAAGGCTGTGATAAACGTTGATGCTGTTAAGAGAGATGCGATTATGTTGGTAATCTGTGCTGTTAACTTCATGATGGTTTGTTTATATATATATATCTTCATCACGAGGCTAAAGCTCTGGTTTTGTAGCCATCTCATCTTATATTTCTTCTGTTGGCAGAGTTAGAAGGATAGTGTTCTAATATCATGGTGTATTTTATGTAAATCTAGCCAGAAATGGAAAATATTACTTCTTTTTTCCTTTTTACTTTACTTCCATTTCTAGTGTATTGATTGTTTTAAATTTAAAAGAAATGATGAACTAAAATTTTATAATTTTTAGGTTTATTTAAGGGTACCATTTGGTTGGTGATCTGAATATATGAATTTGGAAATAAAAAATTCAATGAACGGGGTTGTATTCTATGTATTAACAGTTTTCAAGTATGTGTTTGGCAGTATGTTCAGGAATTGAGATTCATGCCAAATAAAAATAGAATAGAATAGGTGATGTAATAATCTGATTCGATTTGAAAATTTATGAATAAATATATTACTTTTATTTTTTTATCAAAAATAAAATGAGTTCATACTCTTGTATAATAGTTTTTACTATAACAATAATAATTATAGTCTCTTGTTACACAACATTGATGTAATATTGAGATCAAATATGACACGACAAAGCCTGTAATTTTTTTTATATAAGTTTAAATTTAAATAAAATGTTTTTAAGAATTTAATTTTTTTTATATAAGTTTAAATTTAAATAAAATGTTTTTAAAAATTTTAAATCATTATATGCCAAAAGTAAAGCAACAAACTAAATAATTTTATTGAAAGAAAATGAGATTCAATGAATTTTTTATAATAACAACAAATTTTAAATAAAATATTAATAATTAAAAAAAAAAGATCCAAATTGATACTTAAAAATTGTTGGTGTTTTCAAAATTGAAAACATGGAAACGATCTAGAATTCGGCCTTCAATTTAGAATTGTATTATTTTGTTTCCAAAATTTTCTCGCGAAATGTGTTTTCCATGTATCCCGTACACCCTTTAATTTGGCTCATCTCCTTTTAAAACATTTACATTTAATTTATTTTTATCCTTGTATTTTATACTTTTATCTTTCTACTTGTCTTAATTTGATCTTTGTATTTAAAAAAAAAAAATGACTATTTTAGTCTCTTCATTTTTTTCTTCGATCACAGCACGATATCACACTCAATCAATTTCTTGAAATGTAATTTTAACTATGCATCTAAAGAATTCTCTTTAGATATAGAATTTGTGATAATCTTGCAAATAAGAATCAAAATGATCACTTTCTTAACGGACATTTTTTTTTAAGTAGGAGGGATTAATGAACAAAAATTAAAAGTAATAATATTTAAAATAAAATCAATCCTTATCTGAATTTCCAGTGGTATAAAGTTCAGAAAATAAATTTTGTCTAGAACAGTGTTTCCCCTTAAAAAAATGTACTTTCACTCCAAGTGCATATGATAGGGTCACAAAAATTATGTATCATTTTATTGAACAAGAGAACTTTACATATTCCTATAATGAAAAGGTGAGCATGTATAACATTTTCAATAAATGCAGCAAGCTATACATACATTTTCAAACCAAGCCTGAAAACACAACATTTGTAATATCTGGGAATCTCTCTTTAATGGCTGCCTTAATTCCTGTACCAATAGATTCAGGACCCTCATACTTCACGAGGCAATCGCCACCGTCGATCGATATTACTTCTACACTCCCGCCATAGTTCCTTATGGCTGGCCTCAATACGTCAAGGTGACTATTTACTGCCTGCATTAGTTCACATTCAGCATTGTCACCTAACAGAGCCTGACTAGTTAAGCTCATTAGTGAGCATGAAAGCGTCGCAAAATAGTGAAACTTGTTCAACTCGTTTCGTATTTTTTTGACTATAGAAGACTCACCTCGGGTGTTGTCTCCTTTGGCTCTTCGTCATACACTTGGCATATTTCCTTTACTGAATCTCCAAACTTTTCCTTCAATACACGTTCGATCCCCATCTTCATGGTGGTCGTTGAGCTCGGGCAGCTACCGCATGCTCCTGGAGAAAGAAAGAAGCCAAACTTACAGTCATAGCAATAGGGAAATGGAAACAAAGAAAGTGCAGACCAGGAGTGAGGTAGGAAAATGTAGATGTCAATGAGAAACACATCCTAGTTACATCTTGGCAATATGCTAGGATTCTAAGCACAAGAAAATGACAACGTAACTATATTGCAATATCAAAAAAAAATTATAATATCAATAACCTCTCAAGAGGGCTATCTCTCCCAATCCCACACAAGTATTTTCTCAAACCATCCTCCTCCCTAAGCTCCCTAATGCCCTCTATTTATAACCAATTCACCCCTGCAAATATGCTACTAATATTCCCAATATCTCCCTATTACAGATGGGCTGCTATTTTTTCTTGGGTAGGAAACTTCTACTAGAATATGTAGGCTGGAAAATACTGCCACTCCTTGTACCTTCTTTCTATTTCTAATCTAAAGATACATTCAACCTTTGTATATTAATTTTGAAGACCAAGATAAGATCCCTAAGAAATTTGGGCATCTGCTCAGCTGTAGAAAAGTAATTTCTTCAATAGAATCCAAAAGGAACCCTAATACCTTTTCTCACCCTTTGTATGGAGTCACTCACAGCAAAACGTCTAACAAGGAGGAGACCTTTTTCCCCCCACCGCGAAAGAAACAGATGAACTCACCAAAAACATGTACAAGATGAAGGCAGTACTAGAGGTCTGAACCTGACCTCAACCAAGATTACAAAGTAAACGTTCTCCAACAATTCGATGAGAAGATTTAAAATAATTATAGAAGTCTTTGGAAGTAAGAAGCCAGAGAGCTACATCAAGTCAGCAGTCTGCATTAATACATCTCCCTCTTCCAAATATTCCGAGACTCTCACGAAATTGGTAAATGGTGATCAGATGCAAATGATTTTAGGCCTCTTCATAAGGTGCATACTGAGGGTGAGTTAAAGCAGCAAATCTTAATACAAAATAGTACTGAATTAGAGTTTCTCCCGAAGGCTCTAGGCTGCGGTAGAACTTAGGGTGTGTTTGGAAGTGATGGTAGAATTAGTGATTTTGGAAAAAGAGATTTAAGTATAATTGATTTTTCAAAATCACCTCTCAAGTGATACCTTAAAAATCAATTTAAAGTGATTTTAAGCTTTCTCAAAATCAATTTTTTAATTTGCCAAACATGATGTGAGAGTCCTAGGGGAATATTATTAGTTGTTAGTAAAGGGGTATTATGGTAATTAGATTAGGGTGAGTATGTAAATAGGAGTAGGAGGGAGAGGAGAAGGATATCTTGGGAATAGTATTTTGGTAAGGACTTGAGAGAGTTCTTTGGGAGAGAGATAGCCCTCTCGAAAGGCTATCGATATTGTAATTACTCTTTTGAATTGCAATATAGTGTTCTTGTTAGGTTCTTGTATTCGGATACCTAACAAATGATCGGTGAAAAGGGAAGTGATTTTGACAATGGTAAAAGTGATTTTGGTCATGCCAAAATCACTCCCAAACACACCCTTGATACAAAAAGTAATGAACTAGAGCTTCTCCCAAAGGTTCTAGGCTATGGATTGATAAAAATATGATCAAGATCTTGACCTACCACAAAGAGTGCACATATTAGTTCAGAACTTGGACTGTAGAAGGATATCTTTTATGAATCCTTACAACAGAACAAAATTTTCTTTGATGTTTTCAGTTTCTAGATCATCTTTGAAATTTCACATCACAGGTGACAGGACCCTAGAACTCTTCTGTAAGGATTCTCACATGGAACGCTCCTCAATATTTGGGAACTTCTTCCTTCAATAGCATCCTTCAAGACAGCAAACGTTCTTTGGATAAAAGATTCTACTGAGGACATATACTGCTTCAAACTGGAAAAGTTGAAGAAGTTCTAGTCATTGTAAACAAAATGCGCAAATCTTGAATTTGGCATTTCTCTTAGGAGATCTTTTCTTTTTCCTTTTTTTTTTTGGTAAACAGAATTCCATACTGATGTCACATCTCAATAATACAATGTCACCGGCCTTCTCCACATCATTTACTAAAATAGTGAGGGTCGGGCATGAAGGAAATGAATGATGTTCAAATCTGCAAAGTTTACAAACTGGTCCTTCATAGCTGAACAGCAATCAAAGACTACGCCACATAAACTTTCCTCAAGCACCAAGAAATAAAGTCTCTAACATATTCAATTGTTTTTGGTTAAATCTATATTTTAGTCCTTGGGTGTTCTTCCAATTTAGTCCCTCCATTGTTTGAAAATTTTCAAAAATAGTCCCTTACATTTGAACATGTTACAATAATACTCTTCCCATGGGTGGATGTTAAATGTAGCTGATGGTAAGCTTGTATAGCATAACAATGGTGAGAGAAAAAAAAAGTCTAGAGAAGGAATTAGAAAGTTTCCTCTCCCATAGAGTGGCTTGATTCCTCCTCCAAATTTGGGTTCATCCCTTGTTTTTCAACCAACATTTCACCCACATAAGCAAGCAACAACACAAACCGATTTTTGGACTACACAAGAGAAAATTGCAAGAACCCCAAGTTCAATTAACAAACGAGTTCACTAAACCAAAACCCACTCAATCGAATGAGATCAGAAATCCACCCACCTACGAGTTTGAGGGAAACCACTCCATCTTCAACAGAAACAACATCCACATTTCCTCCATCCGCGATGAGATAAGGCCTCACGTCCTCAAGAACCAGGTCCACGTTTCCAATGGTGAGTTCAAATTTCTGGGCCGAGTAGAGCCCTGGCGAGGAGCTCGTGGATGGACCCGAATTCGAAGCTGAAGCTTTAATGCCTCGTCTGGGCAAAACCCTTTTCAGGGAATTGGGTCCTTGGTGTTGCCGATGGGCAGAAGGTGGGTATTGGCGATAATTTGCAGGAATTTGGGAATAACAAGGTGGGGTTTTGAGCAGGCCGGAGGTGGTTAGAGACGCCATGGCTGAAGAATTGAAGACGAAATTTGGCCGATGACGAGGACCTTGCTAAGTTGCAACCTTCAACGGAGTCCTTTTTTGTGTAAATTTGATTTATCTTGTAATTATCTATTTTCAATTTGATTCTAAAAATTTTAATTTCTTACTAGTAATTTTTACCATGAATCAATTTCTACTATACTAATTTTATCACATAAGCATGGTAAAAATGTTCTGTACAACTTCAATAAAAATCAAGGTTTTAATTTTAAGAACGTACTACTATATGTAACCACTCAACCATTTTCAAATATATTATGCACTAGGGATGTTCATGGGCGGGGATGAGGAATTCTTCCCCATCCCATCCTCCCTCCCCATTTAATTCTCCATTCGTGCGAGAATTTTTTTCCCCATTGATCGATATGATAACACTAGAGGGGTGAATAGAGTTGTTTGTTCGGAAATCCCTACTCCAGTCCCCAAGACTCCGTCTCAGGTATTTTACTTCGCCGGCTCTCTTATAGGTGAGAACCAAACCAATCGACCCTGTCCTAGGCTAAAGAGAAACCCCCGATCATTGTTACTGGTTCAGGATCCAACCCATTGTGTTTTCTCACAACCCAATGTACCCACACCTTAATACAAAACCCAAAAATGTGAAATGAGCAATACAAAAAAAATACCTGAATTTGAAAAAATATAAACTTTTTGTCAACTTTTTGTATGAAGAGAATGTCAATAACTTGAAGGGAGAAAGATGTTTGCTTTGATAATTGGTGTCCAAAATGATGGAATTTGGTGGCTTTAAATAGAGTTTCGACGATGAATTTTGACCGTTGGATTTTATGGAGATTTTGAGAAATTGGTGGAGATGGAGAAATTATGTGAAATTGAGAGAAGATTGTGGAATTGAGAGAATGGTGGGAATTTGATTTGTTGGGATTGAGAGCGCCACATGTCGTCACGTAATCAGTCCACGTCACCCACCACGTCACCAAAATTGTTGATGCCACGTTACTCTACATCATTATCACGGTGGCATAATTTGACTATTAAATGTCACGTCCCTTACACGTAGGATTGGTCCACTTGACTTGTTTTGACCATAATTTCTTCGTTTGAACTCCGACTCGAGTGATTCAAAAGGCATTGGATTCAGCTTTCCGAAACTCTATGAAATAGACACTTTGAAACACGGAAATCATTAGTAAATAAAGTTTGTTATCATCAAAACATTCATTGTGATTGAAGCTCATAAAGCTAACATTAACTATCTCAAATATATATATGAGGTAGGTAGGCAGAGAATAATACATGATTTTTTAGTACATATATACCTATAAAGAGGATAATATAATTATTTTAGTGTGTGTATATATAATATTAAAAAATTATGCGGGGTGGGAAACCTATTCTCCATCTCGTCTCCATTTAGGTGGTGGGAAAAATTTTCCCCATCCGTGTCTCATGGAGAATTTAAACTGGAATTCACCACCCCATTTAGACTGGAGTCTAGGGAGAAAATTAACATCACTATCATTAGAGTTGTGAGTAGATTTTTAATGTTGTTTTTATTATTATTAATTGTGTTTTCATTGGTAAAAGGCACGTTTCCATTTGAGTTTCTCTAATGCAATTTGATCGGGTTACTTGTGACTAAATTTTTTTTAACCTAATTGATTAAAAAATAAAAAGTCACATGATTAAGATGGATTAAAAAAAGTCATATGGTAATCTACCATAGGGTTCTATTATATACTTCATGCCTTGGAAATGAGGAAGGAAGAAACTAATGATTTTGTGGAGGCTTGACTTTTGCTCTCTTGATGCAAATTATTATTCTGATTGTATCTAACAAAATTATAAGGGCATAAAAATAAAATGTTATACTTTTTTCTTATATATATATTTAAACAATAAATTTTAATTTTAATGGCTCGAAATAAAATTGGTACCAAGATCAGTAATTTGAAATTTTATATTTTATTATTCATTGAACATGGATGGAAAAATATATATTTTGACGACTATTCAGATAAAATTTTAGCTAGTGAAGATATATTATCGACCAAAAAGTCAAATTAAAAAAAAATAAAACTTACCAATAAAAACCTCAACAATCATTTAAGTCTGAACTTTCAACTTGAGAATTTATTCTTAGGCTAAATATACAAGACGATGCTTAATGTTTGAGTTAATTCTCAATTTGATTTTTCATATATTATAAATCCTGATTTCATCGATGTATTAAAAATTTTCTTTTAAGTTATTCTAGTTTGTTAAAATTTATCAACAAAAAGTTAATATATCGTTAAATCATTGTTATATTAACATATTTAGACAGGTAAACATGATACTCGGATACTACATAACACATAAAATCCAAGTCGTTATTATTATAAAAGTTATAATAAGCCCGTTAATAAAATCAATTTCTTTCAAGTGAGGTATAAATGACATAGTTTTTTTTAACAAATAAATGACATAGTTTATCTATAGTATATATCAAAAGCACAGTGTAAAGAAACTTTCTGTTAAGAAACTTTTTGGAATTGTATCTAGCAATCTTGTTCACAAACAAGACCTTTAGATCACAAACTCAAAAATCCCAAAACAATCATGTAACCAACCCAAGGAAAGTAAAAAAACCGGATTACCTTGATCAATATCTCAAGACAATAAAACTCGTTTCTTGTTTGAGATCTGAATCACTCCACGAGCAAGATAGATCAAGTTTTACTTTAATGATCCTAAACATGCAAACTATCACAAGATTGTAAAATACATTAGCTATTGGCTAAAAGAAAGGTTCAATGGTTCATTTCAATCCTCTATCATTTGATTTTACAAATGTCACAACCATGACTTTATATACTCATTTAGCCAACCATGTGAAGAGTCTCAAACAAAAGAAAAGACTCACAACTTACCAAAATTTAATAGACAAGTAAATAAATAGTCTAGAATATGAAAAGTTTAAAGAAATGTAAGTATTTGAAAGAAAAGCCAATCAAACTATTAAATCTCGTCTATAATAAATGATGGATGAATTTTGACCAAATTTTGACTTCTTAGGATGAGATTTGGAGGCGCTTCACTTGACCATGTAAGAACAAACTCTTATTGGCTTTTATTCATTCATATCACTTTCTCTCTCTATTTTGTTCTTTCTAATTTAAACATTTCACTATTATTCTGAGGACAATTTTGTAATTCAAATATAAATTTTTGCCTCACACCCTCCCAACCACTTCCCCCCAATTTCTCTCCCTCTTTTTTTGTTTCATTTTCTTTCAAATAACTTAACAAATTCTACTTTTCTCAAATTAATTTTCTCTCTATCTTGAAAACTCTCTCTAATCATTTAATTGTATTTATTTCTCATTTACTCTTTGATTAATTATTTCTCCACCTATCATAATTTATTACTCAAATTAACCAATCAAAATAACATTTTATATCGCCAAAGCGAGCATAGCTCAGTGGTAATTGGCATATACCTCCAACTAAGTGGTTGTGAGTTCGAATCCCCTCCCCAACATAAAAGAACTCACTTCCCTAATTTCTAATGTATAATCAAGTAAATAGAAAATATCTTGACGATAAACTAAAAYCTGTATTAATTGACATATATTTAGAGGCTGCAAGTTGGATGTCCTCCAGTGTTTGTACTCAAATTTTGACAATAATTTTTTATCTGAAAATTTTGATATTTTATACACAAGTTGAGAAAATTACCTCTTGTCATCCTCTGGATTACTGCTCTGCTACCAGTTTTTTTGAAAGCATTAAAAACAGCCCGCGGGATTTTGTTTAGCCATCTTCACCAGTTCCCCAAAGGGCTGAAAAAATCCCAAATTTCCTTTGCTTGAAAATTGACAACAATGGGTTTTAAAATTTAACGCAGACCCAATCCAAAATCCTAGGGTTTATATTAAGTACACCACCGCAAATGGGGGGATTCGATTCCCCTTCAAGCCACACCCAGCAGCAGCACGACCACCATCACCAGCCGTTCACCATTGGCTCTGAAATTGAAGTTTCCATTGATGAGGACGGGTTCAAGGGCGCCCTTTTCAGAGCCACAATTCTGAAGCTCCCCACTTCCCCTTTCTCTCAATCCAAGAAGAAGAAGGCCCTTGTTGAGTACAAGACCCTGGTCACTGAAAATGGATCTACCCCTCTTAAGGAGCAAGTCGATGCCCTTAGTTTGAGGCCTCTGCCGCCCGATTCTTCCCTCAAGGATTTCGAGGAAGGCGACATTGTTGATGCGGTTGATAAAGATGGGTGGTGGACTGGTGTGGTCTGCAAGGTTCTGGAAGATGGTGGATACTCTGTTTTCTTCAAGAACCCACTGCATGTCATGGATTTTCAGCGGAACCAGTTGAGGTTGCATCAGGATTGGGTTGATGGCAACTGGGTTGTGCCCCCAAAGATGGTAACTTATCTTGGTTGCTCTTTATGCTCAAAATTTATTCGGTTGATGTAGTGCTTTCCTTTGAATCTTAGCGTCTTGTGGATCTGTAATGCTGTTCCATTTGTGAATTGAACGCTGAAAGTGGTGGGTTTTTAGTTAGATTGCATGTAGTAGTTGACAGCGAGCTTGGGTGGCTTTAGTTCAGTCAATTTGTTTGGTTTTATTAGAAAACTGACTGACAAAGACTTTGGACGAGATTTTTTTTTCCTTTGGGTTGGTATGCTTAAAGATTCCTACCTTCCGTACTCTGAGCTAAAACGGAATTGGAGCATTCGATTCCGAGTCTTCTTACTGGCCACTAGGAATGGCTGGTGACTGTGTTGCCACCCACGGCAAGTTTGAAGCTAACTTAGAACTCCAACAGTATATTCTTCCTCTAGAAGGAAGAATCTATCAATTTTCAACCAGGGAAGGTTCCTTGGTTGGTGTTTAGTCTGAAGTACGCACCTTGTCGTAGCAATTGACTAGTGTGAAATTTTCTGGAAGTCGTTGGGAGGTACGTTTAGAAATGCCCTTTTCCATTGTCGTTGGAATGTGGAAATGGATATAAAATGAAACAGGATAGGGTCGGGGATGATGAATATGTTATAACAAACATATGTGGTTGATCTGTGTGAGGTATCTCCTCACAATCCTTATTGGAATTCAAGCAAACAAGCCCAAAGGCTTTACAGAAACACCCCACCAATTCGAGAGGGTGGGTAACTCTCCCTCTATGGCCCTAGCTACTCTGTAATCAAAAGCCAGAATGAAAATATACTCCCACCTATCCCAGCCTTATAACCACTCGACCCTCACTCCCACAATGATCCCTGGCCCCACACTCCCTAAACGGTTATTCTTTCCTACCTCCCCCTAGTACAATTCCCTTCTTACCCTTCCTTACATAAGTGTTAACTATCGGGGGCCTAACAACTTCCCCCTCTGTCAGCTTCACCTTGTCCTCAAGGGGAAATTCAGGAAATTGGAGTTGCATATCAGTATAGGTTTCCCAAGTGGCTTCTTCCTCGGGCAAGCCGTTCCATCGAACAAGAGCTTCGGGAACCCCCGTGTCCGTGTTCACTCCGGTAGCGAAGATTTCCTCCGGTTTAGTCTTCCATTCTAACGCATCCGTCAATTGAACGGGGATGTGCTGAGTCACGGGGGTGGTGTCCAACTGCCTTCTTTAACTGTGAAACATGGAAGACGGGATGGATCACAGCTCCAGGGGGTAAAGCCAACTTATAGGCTACCTGTCCAATCCGTCGCTCGATTCGATGGGGGCCAAAGTATTTGGTCGAGAGCTTCTCATTCCTTTTCTTGGCAAGGGATTTYTGTCRATAAGGTCGAAGCTTTAAGAACACCAAATCACCTTCCTCAAACTGTACTTCGGTGCGGTGGGAATCCGCCATCTTCTTCATGCGAGTCTGTGCTTTCAAGAGATTATCCTTTACGATTAGGAGAGCTTGGTCCCGATCGGCTAGTTGCTGATCTAAGGTCGCATTGACCGTCTTTTGGCTGCCATAATGGACCAGTGGTGGTGGGGGACGACCATACACAGCCTGAAATGGGGTGGTGCCCAAGGAGCTGTGGAATGTGGTATTTTATCAATATTCCGCCCAAGGTAACCAAGTACCCCAAGTTCGTGGAGATTCTCCACAAAAACACCTCAGATACGTCTCTAGGCATCTGTTCACGACCTCTATTTGCCCGTCGGTCTGAGGGTGGTACGCGGTGCTGTGCTTCAATTTTGTCCCTTGGAGGCGAAACAACTCTGTCCAGAAGTGACTTAGGAAAATCTTGTCCCTATCTGAGATGATTGATTGTGGGAAGCCATGGAGGCGAACCACCTCTTTGACGAAAGCTGTAGCTACGGTTTTAGCCGTGAAGGGATGGCACAAGGGAATAAAGTGTGCATACTTGCTAAACCGATCCACCACCACAAAAATGGAGTCTTGCCCTGCGGATTTTGGTAGTCCCTCTACGAAATCCATCGTAATGTCTTCCCAAACCCTATCTGGCACAACCAAGGGTTGCAAGAGACCCACCGGTGACACGGTCAAAGACTTATTTCGTTGGCAGATACAACACTCCTCCACAAATCTCTTAACATCAGTTTTCATTCCAGACTAGACAGTTCCCCTGTAATGCGTTTGTACGTTCGTAAAAACCTTGAGTGACCACCCATAATGGAATTATGGTAGAGATGGAGGATAGCCTGTTTCAAGGAAGAACCTGCCGAAATAGCCATGCGGCTTTAATGGTAAAGTGTCCCGTGCGGAACACTGAATTTGGGGTGGCTTGAGGGGTTTGCAATAACTTCAGTCATGATTTTAGAGAGTAAGGGATCAATGAGTACCTCGGCTTTCAAGAGTTCCACATCCAACAAGACAGGTACCGTTATTACATTCAAGTGGCTGATTGGTGGCATGCGGGATAGAGCATCGACTGCTTTATTCTCCAATCCTGGCTTGTATTGGATTTCGAAATCGTACCCCAGTAATTTAGACACCCACTTTTGGTATTCAGGCTGCACAATACGTTGTTCCAGAAGGAACTTGAGAGCTTGCTTATCAGTACGAACTATAAACCGTTGTCCTAGTAGGTATGGTCGCCACTTTTGTATGGCCAAGGTGACTGCCATTAATTCACGTTCATATACTGATCTCGCCTGTCCTTGTCTCGAAAGGGTGTGGCTAAAATAGGCAATGGGCCTTTGGTTTTGCATAAGGATAATCTCTTGAAAGCACAGACTCGCATGAAGAAGATGGCGGATTCCCACCGCACCGAAGTACAGTTTGAGGAAGGTGATTTGGTGTTCTTAAAGCTTCGACCTTATYGACARAAATCCCTTGCCAAGAAAAGGAATGAGAAGCTCTCGACCAAATACTTTGGCCCCCATCGAATCGAGCGACGGATTGGACAGGTAGCCTATAAGTTGGCTTTACCCCCTGGAGCTGTGATCCATCCCGTCTTCCATGTTTCACAGTTAAAGAAGGCAGTTGGACACCACCCCGTGACTCAGCACATCCCCGCTCAATTGACGGATGCGTAGAATGGAAGGCTGAACCGGAGGAAATCTTCGCTACCGGAGTCAACCCGGACACAAGGGTTCCTGAAGCTCTTGTTCGATGGAAGGGCTTGCCCGAGGAAGAAGCCACTAGGGAAACCTATACCGATATGCAACTCCAATTTCCTGAATTTCCCCTTGAGGACAAGGTGAAGCTGACAGAGGGGGAAGTTGTTAGTGTTTTGGAATAAGTCTGCGAGGAGCTGTTGGATTGCCCTCGGTACAGCGGCTGTCTGTACCATTATTCCTTCATTTTGGCCTTCCTCTTGAGTCGTCATCGCCCATAGCTCAACCATGTACCCCTGATTAGTATCTTGCCATGCTCGTGAGAGTCTCTTTAGAGACACTTCTAATCGTGCCAATCCAACAGATCGAGATAAAGCGGGCCAATCAGTCTCCACCTTCCCCATCGACTGAAGYCACTTCATTCCCAGGATCACATCGAGATCATTCAATTCAATTGGCAAGAAATCTTCCACAATGGTGATCTCCGGTAATTCCAAAACTACTCCACAACAGACCCCCTGCCCTTTGACAGTCGTTCCTGTTCCTGCAATAATCCCATAATTAAACGTTTCATATGGGATAATGCCAAGATCACTTACCAGCCTTTGCGAGATGTGGTGGTCGTAGTCGTCGACTTGCTCGATAGAGTCACTGTGCAGGTAGCCGTTGTCTCAGGCGGCTTCGCCATGGCCCTGTTTGCGCGTTAACCTTCGTAGTGCGGTCAATCGTCACATTCCTAGATTCGTGGACCGCTGTAGCTATGTCCTTGACTAATTGTGCCCTGTGCATAATCTGTTCCAGGCCCATGGGTTCCGTGGCTAAAACTTTAGCCCTGATTACCGGGTCCAGCCCATTCAGGAAAGCACCTTCGAGGACCTCGTCGGAGAGATGGGGTAAAGGAGCAGACAGAGCTTCGAAGGTCTCGCAGTTCTCTGCTACCATGCCTTCTTGTTTGATCGCCAAGACTCTCGCACACAAGCTTCCGACCTTGGATTTTTGAAACCGTATCAGTAAACGCTTCCGCAGATTGTCCCATCCAGTGAACTTATCTCCCGGTTCATGCCACCTATACCATGCTAGAGCCACTCCGTCGAAACTAATCACAGAGACGATTAGTTTCTCTTCCTYAGTCAATTTATGTATCTCGAAGTACCTCTCTGCACAAAAAAGCCAAGAATCGGTGTCTATACCTGAGAATACCGACATCTCAACTTTTTTACTTATTTCGATCACTTCCGACGTCGTTGGCTGGCACGACTCCAGCAACTTCCTCTATCTTCTTGTTCTTCTTGTTCTTCAGCATCGACAACTCTCTGATTTGTGATAATGTCGACATTTGTCCCCCGATGATTTCCGCCATAAATCCCTCCAACATCATCTGGATCCGCGTAGTCATCTTCTGTTGTTCATCGACCTTGTCGCACAGGTTTGCAATCACACTCTTGATGTCGATGATTTCTTTCTCTGTTGTCTCACATCTGGTTTCTAACTCTTTGACCATCATTTTTCCTCTGCTTTCCCAGTGACGAACCTGATCTGATACCAACTTGTGAGGTATCTCCTCACAATCCTTATTGGAATTCAAGCAAAGAAGCCCAAAGGCTTTACAGAAACACCCCACCAATTCGAGAGGGTGGGTAACTCTCCCTCTACAGCCCTAGCTACTCTGTAATCAAAAGCCAGAATGAAAATATACTCCCACCTATCCCAGCCTTATAACCACTCGGCCCTCACTCCCACAATGATCCCTGGGCCCCATACTCCGTAAACGGTTATTCCTTCCTACCTCCCCCTAGTACAATTCCCTTCTTACCCTTCCTTACATAAGTGTTAACTATTGGGGGCCTAACAATCTGCCAATCTTAGGGAAACACCTCCAGTATCTATCAGAATATTTGTCTTTTAGAGTTTTCTTTTGGTAGTAGGCAAACTGCTGTAGAATTAGAAGTTACCTTGGTTAGCTTTATTTCTGATAATTTGATAGGTTCAGTTATAATTGGTGATGGTATACTTAGTTTGAAGCTACTGTTTGGCCCCAGACTAATAATCATTAGGCTTGTGTAAACGTGACACTGGATATCTCTGTGTGTGTGTGAAACGAAGGGTCATTATCAATCAAAAGTTGTGTGACATATCAGAGTTGGAAGGCCTATAATCTCATTGTTGTTTGGTTCACTAGTTACATCTGCTCTAAAGATTCTTTGTAAAGCATGGAGCAATTAACCATACAATTTACACAATATTATTCTAGCTGGTATGTTAGAATTCGTGGAAGTAAAAAATTGTCTTACAACTAGCTGACATCTCTGGAATGCTGAATGAAAATCTCTCTCTCATCCCACTTTTTATGATGAGCAGTTGCCAAATCCCACCGTGTAATTAGATTTCATCTTTGATAAATTAACTTTCTTTTATCATTAGGTTATTATAACTTTCCTCATTGCTTTGAGATCATTCACCACAAAATATTTCAAACGAACTTTTTATAGGAGTTGTTAGGTAGAAAGGTAGCGTCTGATATCTCCTGCTATGCAACTGTTCTGCATAACTGTGTAGTCCACGTTACCTAATTCTTTACCATTGCTTTAGTGTGCTTGGTAGTCTTAATTACATACATCTTGTTACACATTAGATCATCATCAAGAACTTTGATACCATGATGAAAGTTATATGTACATCGAATACATTTTACTTGAGGTTAAAACTTCTTCCACTTTAGGATGCATCAATCTTGACAGATCAGTTGCAGAGGTGTTCCAAGGGTGCTGATATTATTGAGAATGATCGGTCTGAAAGTTTAAAAAATGCTGAAACCAAGATTGAAAAGGAGAACTCTTATTCCATAAACTCAAGGAATAATTTAATGGAACAGCCAAGTATTTGTGATGAAAATTCTGCCTCATTGGCCTTGACCTTGAGAAGGAGGAGAAGAAGTATCAGTTGTAAGTCGAGAGTTTCAAGTCTAAAGAAGATAGGAGAAAGCAATAGTCCTGGGGCGCCAGCAGCATATGGGTTGAGGAAGACAGACAGCAGAGTACTGAGAGGGAAATCACGTTGTAGAAAAGCAACATGGAATAGTGGTGGTAGAAAAAGAGGCTACCAAAGTTTTCGTTGTGATGATGACAGCAGCAGCAATTCGCCAGATGAATTTGAGAGTCCCGAAGGAGGAGAGAAAGTGGTAATTTTTCTATGTGCTTTGAATCCTGCATTACCTATTTAAATAATTGTACAAGTCCGAACATCACCCGGAAATGAATATATTTTAACTGAAGAAAATCTTATTTAAGTTATTATATCATTCTTGAATGTCAGTAGTCACTAGTCAGTTACCTGCTCCCTTGTTATTTACTTATGTATGTATCTAACAACAAAGTAAACTTGCTAAGAAATCAGCTACCTTCACTCACTTGAATGTCCCAAAATTTCCTCGGGCAATATCATTGCTATGTGAAATTCCTCTACTTGCCATCATCTATAATATGTTCCACTAAAGCAGTTAAAAGTTAAAATTATTGTGGGACATTCTGATCTACACTATTTTTCTTACTGCTATATGATTTTAAATTATTGAACATGATACTTTTTACTTCATGTGCAGAGAACTAAGGAAGATGTTGATGGAAGTGGCGAGTTGAAGGAGCAAGGATCAAGAGTCATAAATGGTAAAAAACGAAACACACTTGCACAAAGCCAATCGACTCAAGTTACAGGTACAGACAGCTCTTGATGGTTGTAGGCTACTAATTTTTGCTTGCATAATTTCTTATTTTGCATCTGACTTGGCAGATAAGGAAGGGAAAGATGATTGTGATGTCTCAGAGATCATTCCTAAGGAAGTGAGTACAAGAAATGAATCTGAAAGGAATAAACAATTAGCATCAAAAGAAAAATGGATGACACCGAAAAAAAACTCTCTTCACCTTCCCGATGAGGTTAGAGGTGTGGAGGAAGATTCAAATAATCAGACAAAAGAGAAGAGCATGGTAAGCAAACTAAATACAATTAACTTGAAATAAATTGAATGAATTTTCATAATGGGTATCTCTTCTCATGATTTCTAGGTGACAGTTTTTTCTTTCTTTTTTTTTTGTTTTTTGTTTTTTTTGTTTTTTTGTTTTTTTGTTTTTTTTGAGTTCAACAATTGGTGGTGGGGGATTGGATCTTTGAGATGGTAATAGGTGTGAGTTATTCTCCCATTGACCAAGCTAATATATTACCATACATTATTCTTATAAAAACAATATATTAATATACAAGATAGGGACACTTGTGTTAGTTTATTTGTTTGAATCACTTTAAAAGTGACTAACATGCAATTTTATTTTAGAGGCAAGAAAGAGATGCAATGGAATAGAGGAATGATGATGATTAATGTCATACATATCCTTGGTCGTCTTGGTGAAAATACTATATTGTAATAAATAATGATATACAAGATCCTTAATTCCTTAGAATACATTCTTATCCAAAAAAAAAAGATCCTCATAAAAAATGTATTATTATAAACTTACAAGACATGGATACTTCTAAAATATCTCGTTGATGCAAAATTACAGAGAGAGAAACACGTTTGTGTTTTCATTGTGAAGATAAGTTTTTCCTAGGGTATAGATTTACCTCTTCTTCAGTATGCTTGAAGTTTGAAAGATTGATGATATATATTCTTTACCAGGAACCCGAGCAGCAAGCAGCTACTAAATTCAGTGATAAACGAAAGAGGGGGAGGCCTGCTAGATTGATGCAGGTAAGGAACCTGAATAGTTACATCAAGCAGCCTGTTTAAATCTCTAAAAAACGCCACCAATGTCCTAGGAAACCTCCCTATTGAGAATATACCAAATCTCATTCAAAATTGGCAAAAAAATGTTCAGATACTAATGATTTTAGGGGCCTCTTCATAAGGTACAAACTTAGTGTCAGTTGGAGCAGCATATCTTCAAACAATGAAGAGACCAACCTAGATAAAATGCATCTGGATATGGTAAGATCTGGCTTACCAGAAAGAATGCACGTATTAGGGGTGAGGACCTGGACCGTAAAGAATATCATATATTTTGTGAATCCTTCACAGAGGTATTTGAGCTTTTAAGTACCAAGGCCACAGAACTTAGTTCTGTAAAGTTCTCAAATTCTAGTTAATCATTGAAATTCATATCTAAGGACACTAGAACTCTGATGTAAGGATCTTCAAGATTTGGGAACTTCTTCTTTTATTGGATTTAAGGTGTGGGATCTAATTGGTTTCAAGGTTGCTAGTTGAGCAACTTGCACAAAACTTTTGCAACTCTCCCTTTCTTTTTCAATTCTATCAATTAGGGATCCTTTTTGTAGTCTTCCTTAGATAAATAGGAAGAGACCAAAAATCACCTCTTCTTTTGTAAATGGTTTTCATTCAATACAATATTTCTTATCAAAGAATAAATATATCCTTCTGAGAACTAGTCTACATACACTATTCCATTTCCTGAAGAAAAGACAATATTCTGATGGATCTTGTCTCTACTATGTTAGAGTTTATCAGATTCAGTGGTAATGAAGAAGAGATGCTCCCAAGGATATGTATTGCTTCAAACTGGAAAATCTGAAGTTCTAGTGAATGTGGGGTGGGGCATGAAAGAAATGAATTGTACTCAAAACTCTTAAAAGCTTACAAACTGATCCTTCATGACTTCAAGACAGGCTTGAGAGACTACCAAATACCATTATGTGCAACAGATATTTAACAGCATTTGCTATAACCAGTTCTGTAGTTCAGGTGTTTGACCCGTTCTGAGATCTGGTATATGTTTTGATTAACTCTTCTTCAGTGTGCTCGGTGTTTGATAGGATTTTATGCTAGTATATTCTTTGTCAGGAACCTGAGCAGCAACAATCTAGTAAAAACAGTTATAAGAGAAAGAGGGGGCGGCCTCGGAAATTGATGCTAGTTCCGACTAGTGCAAAAGGTATCCTGTTCCTGTGATCATGGATTTTTACATTATAAATAATTGGGGCTGAAGTATCGCAGTTTTTGTGTTACAGGTAAGGAGCAAGATGGAACTGGACGTAACCCCGACAAAGCGATTAGAACAAGTTGTGTAACTGGTAAGGTTGCTATTTTTTAATATAAGATATTGTTGAACCGAGATGGTATTTGTGCCACCTTTCTGTCATTATCATTATTTACTTATCAAAAGAACATAAAAAGGGAAAAGAAAACTGTAAATGCATTTTGTAGATCTTCAAGATCTGAACGGGGAGAACTGGAATGAACTCTCGATGCACAAGACAAAGGGCGTCGAAAATAAAAGCGCATCAAGCAACATCGATGATGATGATCGACCTCTTTTGATGTGGCTTGGAGGAATGCAATCTTCAGGAACCATCAATTCATTGAGTATGTTTACGAAAGTTACACTAGCACACCGAAAACACGAGTGGCACTAGTTGGGAATTTGAATGTACTCGTTTTCATTTTAGGACAAACACCTGATTCAACTGCCAAGCGGAGGACGAAGGGATGTGAACAAGTAGATGTTTTGAATGAAGTGAAAATAGTTGATGCAACACCTGACTGTGCAACGACCACAAAACAAGATTGGCCTTTTGCCAAAAAGTCGCCTGTCTGGAATGCTATTGATTCTTTAGAAGTCTTTACCCAAATTCCACAAACGCCTCATTTCCACCCTTTAAGTACATACAAGGAGGAATGTCGTGAAGGATTGGCTATTGGTTGCATGGTAACTTTTGCAAGTTTGGTTGAAAAGATATCCAAACTACAGTTTGATAATCCGAGACATGTTTTTGAAAGCATGTTAGCCAGTCTATATGACTTGGAGCAGCACGGGTTCAATATCTCCACACTCTGCAATCGAGCGAATGAACTGCTATTTATCAAAGATAGTCAAGCACGGTACGAGGAGGAAACAAAAGAAGCAGAGAACAAAGTATTGGAGCACACCCAAAGAAAATCGAAACTGGCAGAAGAGATCAAGGATATCGAGCAGAAGATTACGGAGCTGCAGGAGAGACGGGCATCAATCAGAACAGAAATGAAGTCTAAAGATCACGAGATTGCGATGCTACAATCACATGTGGAAGCCATTAGAGAATGTACTGAGAATACTAGGCTACATTTTGATAAGCAGGTTGCCCTCCCCTTGAAACCAGTTTGATGATATAGGTTTGTTAAAATTACTCTAAAACTCAGCTGGTTATGTTCTTGGCCATTCTGTGAATGGTAGTGGTAAACTAGAAGTTAATGATAAACTCATGGAACTCCACTTTTGTATGATAAGGCACCATTTTGGAGGAAATTTTTCAGTTTAGGATGCACTACAAAAATGAATTTCAACTGTTTATGAAGATTTGTTCTGCAGCAACATTGAAACGTAAGCTTGTAGATTTCAACTGATTACTTGTAGATTTTTAGATTTCATACATTAAAATAAATAACACAAAAGCAATCAAAAACCACTGCGTTGGAAAACCAAAACCTAGCAGCAAGTAGAGTGTTTTAAAACTACATTCATCCCTAAAAACACTGGCCTAGTTTAACAGTATAGAAATACAACCAATTTCTTCCGCTCCTGGAATCGACCATGGATGAACTTCGAATGAGTAACTAAGGTTTCTTTGGACACCCACCACTCTCATCACCTCAGAAGAAAAAGAATATTGAGCTGGAATCCCCGAGGATGGCACAAGCTGGGAAACTCATTTTCTGTTCCTGCTTTCTTCACGATCCTTCTCCCGCTTCTTGTAAAGCCTCTCGAGAACTCGCTTGGCCTCGCATTGAGGGAAGTTGTCCAGATCATAGTAATGTGATGCTATGTCCACCAGCCTGTAGGACAAGAAATTTGCAAGGTAATGAATTAACACTCTCGTAAGTAATGACAGTTACTTGGAAGAAATCAGGATTACTGTCGAATCACTAGTTCTTAGTGCAAGTGAAAAACCTCACATGATGTATAACAAAGTACAAATAACTTGCCTCTGGATCCAAGAATTTAAAATTATAGCAAGAGGGGACTAACCATTCACCCCGGATATCTGTCACTGTACGGATGAAATTCCTACTTGTTAAGACGTACTCGTTATAAATGACCCACTCTGGTTTATGATCCAAGCAATTTGAAGGATGCAGGTGTACCACCTGTGGAACAGATTTGTTAAATCCAAAACGTGCATAAGACCAAAAAAGAGCGCATATACAAAAGTGCAAAAACCAATATATAAAAGAGAAGAAACATATCCATACCTGGTTGTCCTTTACTGTCAAATAGTGTCCAGTCCGCTCCAAATGAGCAACTTGCATGAAATACCCAGAGAGCATAGCCTTTCTTATATTAACGTAATAGTCGCGGCTGTTGAAGTCTGTGCTGCATAATTTGAGGTTAAACCTAGACATAATGCGGACTAGTTGCTCTCTGACATTATCTGCAGCCTTCATTGCTCTGTGATTTATAAAGTTTTCGTAGCACCATGATTGATCCTCATCTGCAACAAAAGAATTGATTTAGGAATCCATAAAAATTGAATTAACTAAATTACACAGCAAAAAGTGAGAAACAGAAATACTTACTGTTTTGCTTGTAAGCATGGTACACGTTCAAGAGCGTTAGATGATCTCCGTCAATGTGGCCAAACCTAGCTTTTGCTTCGTCAGCAGCCTTTTGAGCCTCCCTAGGCCGGACAAAGCAATTGGGTACTAAGAAAGAAATTGGTAATCACACACAGAGGAGGCCCAGGGAAGGTCAGCAGACGCAAAGATGCAAGACGAGACCATTGCTTCATGAGATAATACTGAGAAACTGCAACTAACTACATCAGCACTCACTGAGAAATCTTATGGTGCATGCCATCTGGGGGCATGGAACCAGAGAAGATAGTTGCTGATGACAACCTAATTTGACAAAATCGTGCTCTAACAACATGCACATGAAATCACATGCATGTCTACTAGTTAGAGGACATGATATGCAGAGATACTGCACACATGCTACGTCAATAAAAATGCATCAAAAGATTGATGCATCCAGCCCAGTGTTTAACACCCCTGGGAATTTGACGTCCACTACATAGAACTCAATAGAATTGGGAAAGAAAAAGACGCAAATGAGAAAGCACAAGTACCTGAAAGCATGGCAGAAATTGACAATATTTCATTTGAACATTTGAATTCTGGACTAACAACGAGCATCTTTGACATCTGAGGATCTAATGGGAATTCGCTCATTATTTCCCCAAGCTTTGTCAGGTTCCCATCATCATCCAATGCACCCAAGTAATTCAGCACTTCTAAAGCTCGCATCAATGTCTCAGGAGCAGGTGGGTCCATAAAATCAAAATGCACGAGGTCATCAATCCCCAACTTCTTCAAGGTAAGAACAGTATTTGCCAGGTTTGACCTCAAAATTTCAGGATAGGTTTGTGGCTGCAAATCATTTTGGAAACTTTTTTCTGTGTAAAGTCTAAAACACTTTCCAGGTTGAGTTCTTCCAGCACGTCCTGATCTCTGATGCGCACTAGCCTTTGATATAGGAGATACCAATAAAGACTCAACACGTACCCGAGGGTTATAAACTTTCTGTTTTGAAAAGCCAGGGTCAATAACATAAACAATGCCATCTATGGTCAATGAAGTCTCTGCAATGTTAGTAGAAACCACAATCTTCCTTCCAGGGGGGCCATCCTCTTTCACTGGAGGTGGAGCAGGTTCAAATATCTTCTGCTGCATAGCTGGCGGAAGAGTTGAATATAAAGGCACCACTTTGACAGGCCCTACCTGGTCCCCAAGGTTTCCAATTTCTTTATTTATTTTGCGACATGCATCTTCAATTTCCTCCTCACCAGTGAGGAAAACAAGTATATCACCCGGAGGTTCACACAAATGAATCTGTACAACCGTCCGAATGGCAGCTTCAAGATAATCCCTTTCAGGTTCCTGTGTGTAAAATATTTCCACTGGATGAAGCCTACCAGGAACTTTCATGAGTGGAGCACCAAAAAAATAACCCTGGAACTTTTCAGCCTCAAGTGTAGCACTCATGACGACCAGCTTCAGGTCAGGCCTATTTTTCAAAACTTCTTTCAAAAGCCCAAAAAGAACATCTGTTGCTAACGTTCTTTCATGAGCCTCATCAAGAATAATTACTTTATACCTTTCTAAAAGAGGATCCGTCATTGCTTCTCTTAAAAGCATACCATCAGTCAGATACCTGCCACCCATAAAAAAGTACAATAAATTTACAATCAGATCAAGAATCGTATTTAAAATCATCCAAGTAAAAAGACAATAATAATCTCCAAAGAGCAAGTACTAGGAATTATGAGATTACTTCAGAACTGTTCTGGCACTACTGCAGTCTTCAAAACGGATGCTGTAACCAACCTCTTCTCCAATAGTTACATCCATCTCTTCAGCAACACGTCGAGAAACTGACATTGCTGCCACCCTACGTGGCTGAGTGCATGCAACCATCATCTTCTTACGCTTATCTGGACTATCCAGGTCAACAGCTTCCAAGACAAATTGAGGAATCTGAAACAGACATGATCACCACAATCAAAAACAGAATAACAAAGAGTAAGAAGATGATGATTTTGAGGTTAAACCTAGAACAAGATACCCATTTGACCAAGAGTTTAACTAAAAGGCGAACAAGTTGTCTAAAGACTCTAAAAGTTCCAAACCGAGCTTTTTAAAACCAAGTTAAAAAAAATTATCAACATTTTAACTATATCATTCTACACCTACTACCACAGGTCCAACCCAAGTAGTAAGTTTCTGAGCACCATCGAAATAAACAAGAAGTTAATTGCCAAAAATAACTATTAGAAGTACCTTATAGAAACCCTGTTAAAAGAACAATAATTATAAATAAACTCCAACAGCCCCTAGGCCCCATTCTCGAGTGATCTATGAGCCTAAACCGAAGAAAGCAGTGAACTTTCCATAATGTATTAAACGTTGATCTTAACCCACTCATGTACTAACTCAACATATGGCTCAACTATATATTTAATTGGCGCCCTGCAAGACTTTTCTTACATATATAAAAGAAAGTTAACTACAGCAATTGAATAGAGTTTTTTGTGCAAATTAAAAAAATCCTCCCATATTTTCTTCCGTTCTCAAGGGTGAGTCAAGCTCTTACATTCTAGTTCAATAGAACATTTTTAAGGACTAAAACAGGATAAAAATAAGATCTAATCCAAGCATTAAGAAAATAAAACCACTATAAATATAATCTATATCTATATTGATGGTACATTTCTGGGCTAGGCTGCATAATTATGTCAATCCTTTTCAAACACGTATTAACCCACAATCAAACTACAAAGTAAAGGTATGCACCCCTAATATAGTCTGACAATTGCTTGACAAACACGCAGTATACCCCTAATATAGTCTGACAATTGCTTGACAAACACGCAGTATAGAATCTAAAAAATACCATAAAGCAAATAAATGTCCCTAGAACCAAAAGAAAAGAAAAAAAAACCAACTGCATACAAGAGAAAAAGTAAGATACAAATAACCCTGAAGTTACTTGTCCACTAACAACAACAAATCATCTGTACAAACATAAAGTTTTTTCCAAACTAACCTGAGTGGTTTTACCACTACCAGTCTCACCGACCAAAATCAAAGTCTGACTGGCCTTCAAAGCCTGGAAGAACTCCTCTTTCTGATGCCAAACCGGCAGAGTCTCCCTCTTCTCCAAAATCTCATAGTACCTCTGCGAGAACGGCCTCCCAGTCCACCGGTTGATCAGACTGTTGCCCGCATTGCCACCGCCATTGTTTAACGCCGCTCCACCACCGTTCGATTTGTTAATCTTCGCGGAGACCGATGTCTCATCCACCACGTCAAATAAGCTGACCTTCCTCTTCCTCTCCGCGCCCATTAAAACCCTAGCCCGCACAGAACTATGGGAAATAGCCGAAGAAAAAGAGTTGGACTCTACCTGAAGAGCAAGACAGGACCTGGTCGGGGCTTGCTTCCTCGGAAAGAGCGATTGAAGGGGCCTGGTTTTGGCTCTGCAAAATTCCGAAACCCTAATTCGAGGGGAGAAGAAAAACGACGATGAAGCTTGGCTTTGTTATATAGCACAAAAAAAAAAAGCAAAAAAAAAGGAGCTTTCGAGAATTACATAATTAGTCCCCAATTTCCTGATTATTATAGTTGTGGCATTTCTTGGCTTCCACTCCACGGATTGCGCCGACAGAACTTCCGGCCGCTTAAATTGCTTTGGGCCTGCCCAATCTATATGGTTTCTGTACGGCCCAATAAAAGGAAAAGTGGCCCAATTGGATCCCATCTCTAACATTTGGCGGGTAAAAGAAACTGAAAACAAAAATGAAATTTTGTAACATTAATTGAGCTGCTTTTGGATTATACACATGATTCTCGATGAGGATGTTATCTTTAGTTTACTCATAAATCCATGTAGAAGTTTTGTAATACTTACGGTTATTTCATGTGACTTGACAGCTACCTAACGATATCGATCTCTGCCCTCTTATTTGACTGTAATATTTTAGAAAAGAAAAACCAATGACCATTTTTGTGGTTTTCTATTTTTCGTTTTAATTTTAGATTATGTTGTAATTTTGTGGTACTTGCCTTATTGTTTAAAAAGATGGTTAGCTTTGTTTATTAATTATGTATTAGATATACATGTTATATTATGTCCTTTCTATTTCTAATAAGTCATTAACTAAGTTACAATCTCAACAAGTTATTAATTAAGAACACCTCATTTTTTTTTCTTTTTATCCAATATCAAATCGATGATGCCAAGCCCTCTCTTTAGTCTTGCTTAAGAATAAGAAAAAGGAATCTCATGTAACTACCATATGTTGATGCAAAAATCTGTAGAGACATGGATGACGACTTGAGAGGTCGGCTGGCAGCACTTGGAGCAATTCCTAGAGTACCTGCAAGGAGGTAAGTCACTTCGACGCCAAGTTAGTAAATAATCTGACCCCAACAGATCAGCGTTAGATAGATTTTTGTACCTGGGCATGAGATGTGGTGGTGTATTTATATTAGTCAATGAGGTAGATAGCCGTCCCATTGGGGTTTTCCCCTACACGCGCTGGGTGCTGTCGAGCGACTTCTGGTCCTTACCAGTGATCGGTCCATTCCCTGTCGCGTTAGGTAGGGTTTGGTGCCATGTTTCTTCCATCAAGTTACCAAGGTCGATCTGTTAGGTCGGCTCCTTCAGCTTTTCACGTAAATGTTGGGAGTCTGGAGTTTGACCCCCCCCCCCTCCCAACACCATGGAATAAGGTTTGAACATGGTTGAAGTCAATCCAACTTGGTGAAATATCTTCCCGCACCTAATTGATCAAAAAGTTCGCGATGAATGGCACAAGCTTCTTTTTTTATTTCGAGTATTGTTATATGGACCAGACAATCGATACATAGATAGATGGAGGCATGCGTCGTGCTTATTCGGAAAGTTATCGCTCCTTCCCCTCGTAGACTTGGTAAAGCAGCTTCACTTCGGCTGTGCTTTCGATGTAGTCTTTCTATTCCGGCTAACTCTAACACAAACGGGAAGTTAAGCTAGATTTTGAAAGACTACATCAGGGGAGAGTACAAAAATTAGCAACACTTTACTAAAAGATAGGTAGAAAAGAAAGAATTCAAAGCCAAATATTATAGCACTATATAAACACTCTAAATTTCTTTTATAAATGTAAAATAATCGGCCTGGTCTCAAAGTTTCAAACCCCAAACTCAAATTAGATCACATTTGAAATCCAAAACTACCCAAAGGGAAGATGATCTATACATATACATGTGTATAGAATAAACATAAATACATCAAATAATTAATTAATTATCTTTAATTTAATGTTCTATCCTTCTATACTTTTCTCGTACTTGTCTCCTATAATACATGAAAATCGAAATTGATCACTATTTGGAATGTACAATTCCTTCATTGCCAGCCAAAATCAAGTACTTATCTCTCCTAGTAAATTTGGTGCACTCAAATTCCAAAGCCTTTGCAATCTCACTTTGGACATGGTTTGCCACATCAAATCGTGTAGATGTTTTGGACAATGGAGCAACCAAATCCAACATCTTGATGGTGTAAGCCGGGGACGGGTTCATTATGAAGAACAGCGAGTCGAAGCATTTGAACCCACTTGCAGTCGTACCATGAAACATAGAAACATGTGTGTCGTTTGCCACAGGAACTATCTTTGCCCCGACCTCTGAGAACAAAGGGCTAAACCTAAGCAAGTATGGTTCTCTACAAGTGGTTCCTTCGGGACAGACGATCAAGTTACCCTTCGATAACAACTCGGTCATCACCTCCGCGTCACGGTCACGGTTTCGAGTCAACCGTACGGTTTGGATCGGTGAAAAGAACTCGGAGATGCGGCTTAGGCTGTAAGTGACTGCAAAAGGATTGTTGATTCTTAAGGCAGCTGAGATGTAGAGAGGGTCGAGGAGTGTTCTGTGGTTGCAAACATAGAGAAGGCCATGATCGTTAGACTTAGTTGCGTGGGAGGATGGGATTGATAAAGTGAGGCGCATTCCACTGAAGGCATTGAGAGGGATGCATAGTCTATAAGGGATAAAGAGCGAAACAAAGGCCCTAAAGACAGCAAGAATTAGGGCAAAAGGGAGCCACATGAGGAGGGCAAGAGTGTCGAAAGGAGTTGGGTTGAGAGCCAACCTTCCATCATGGAAGATCAAAGGCTTTGGAAATTTGTCGCTTGGGAGCCTCTTCCACCTCTTCTTTTCGGCCTCGTTCACCATGTAAATTTCCTGTTCAAAAACAGTTTTGATATCATCAGTACTATGATCTGTTTGATAATAATTTTATTTTTAAAAGACATTAAATTTCAGGACAACTAGTTTTGTCTTGACAAATATTTATAGAAAGGTCGAGAATTAAAAATAAGTCTGGATTTAGCTATTTATGTATAAGAAGTTCATCCATGAGTAGAGGTTAAGTATATAATAGTTTTGATAGCAAAATGAAAATAAAACATTCTAAGTTAAAAAAAGAAAGATTTATAGATTAAAAAAAATTACAATAATTTTTAAGACATTATTCTAAATAGATATTTTTCCGGTTAAAATTATGCTATTATTTATTAACAATTTTTGTTTTTGGTTTTGTAATCTCTACTTTTTAAAATATTTTTCTTTTTCAAACAGTGATTTTTAGAATTTGGACAAGATCATAAAATAATGATTTTTAAAAGATAAAAACCAAACAAAGAAACATTATCAGCAAACAAGATAAGTTTTTTCCTTTTTTGTTTTTAGAAAAATCAAAATCAAAATCAAAACCAAAATCATTATTAAATTATATGGGACCTCCATCCTTTTTTAAATTTGAGATTTATCGGGGCATGCTAATTAATTCTTGAGTAATTTACAGCATAAAAACTTATAGTTTTTATTGGAATACTTTATGGATGTTCATTAATGTTTTTTTTTTAAATAATAAATGATTATGACTTGTAGATGTAAATGTGTATCTAAATTATTAATGTCAAGATAGGTAAGATATGATTCAATTGATTCTTTCCCTCTCGAAACTACTTTATAATCATTTAAAATAAAGAAAATAAAATTAAACAATAAGCACAACCATTTCTAAAGACAGTTATTTTTTTAGTTTAAAATAAAAGTAGATTATACTATAAATAAATCAATAAATTTTAAATTTTATTTATTTATTAGTTTTTTCCTTCTATCTTTTAAATGCATAATGTCAATTTGAAACAATATATGACATGAAAAGCTATTAATATAAATCTATTATGCATGTTGATTATTTAATTATGACAAGACTTATTGATGTTAATGTATATCTAAACTATTAATGAAAAGATAGAATTGCTGATATCTTTTGTATTATTCTTATGGAATAATACTTTAATTTGATGATCAAAGATCTCCTGCTTAGACCATATACAAAAGAATGTTATAAATATATTTTAATATTTCGTTTTATCAAATTTGTTAATATGATATAATACTATATATTAAACATGTTAATCTAAACATAGTTCAAGCATATATTTTTTACCAAAAAATTGAATCTTCGAATTTTGAAGTTGATAAATTAAAATTAATTTGTAAGGATTTTTCTTGTTAACTTTAATTTAATGAGCCGATGAATCTAGAATAATGAATCTTAAATCTATCAAAAACTTATAAGAAATACATGATTTAATTTATTATTTAACACGTAACACTCAAGCCCCCTTTTTTTTCCTAAAATCCGAATGGAAAATTTGTTCTTTCTTTCCATTTACTTATTTAAAATGTTTTTTCTTTTTCTGAACAAACTTATTTAAAATGTTATTTAATCAAACTTCATTTAATGAAGGATACCCCTATTTGACTTTATCAGCTCCAACTCAAATATAATCCATACATGTGTAACCTTATAATAAATTAGATGAATGAAATCAAAATATATAGCTTTCCTTTAAAAAAAAACCAATAATGAAATAACTCAAAATTGTTTCACCCCTCAAATACCAATTTAAAAAGTCACTTAGTCTCAATATAACCATTTCAAAATATCTAGTTGATTCTTCTCATTTTTTTATAAATCAATAAAACCATTCAAATTGATCAATATTTTCTCACACAACACATCAAAAAATCAAAATTATTAAAAACCATTTCAATAACATCTTTGTATTTTCATTTTCTAAAAAATCATACTTTTTTTTTATTAATGATACTTTTCTTCCATCCTATAATTCACCTTAAACATTTTTTTTAGTTCAATGTTACTTTTTTTAGTACAACATGTGGGTAGGCCAGATCAAGCTTACAACTAAATATATATGTCAATTACTGTTGAGTTATTGGTCTTTTTGAGTTCAATGTTATTGAGAATAGAGATATCAATTATTCAAACCTACAGTTGAGCTATGTTCAGATTGACCCTAATTTCTTTTGAAATTGCAAGTAAATGTATGGTTTAATTAATTAACTAGATTAGGCTAAAGAAAAACTAGCTAGGGTATGAGATAGAGGACAATAAATTAAAGTTTAGGGTAAAGTATAAGTATAAACTCACATTGCAAATAGATGAGAGGAGCTGAAAATCATATCCCTTTGGAGAACCACAAATCCCAATGATCAAATTCCCATTATTTCTCTCAAACTTTTTGGCCTCTTGATCTTCTTCTTCTTCTTCTTCTTGTTCATGTTCATAATTATGAACCAAATTGGACAATGAAGAAAGCTTCACTTTTTCCTCCATTAAACCCACAAAATAGCCTCCAAAAACCTTCAATTCCCTCCCAACAATTTCCTCAACCTCCAAATAATCTCTCAAAAAGCTCTCAATCATAACTTTTGGGAAGAAATTAGTAAACCCAACAACTCTTTTCCTCTTCCCTCCTCTTTTCACAGCCTCAAACGCCTCCAATCCGACGTCGTTTAGGAAGAACTTGGGGAGAACTGAAGAACCAACTCTAAAGCTCTCTTTTTTCAACCCACAGAATGATATCATCACCATAATCTTCAGCCCCATCTCCGGGCCGACGAGTCGAACCAGCGGGTATGACATGAAGAACACCATCGCCCGGAGGAGCCCGCCACCCTCGAAGGCCACCAGCATGAAGTAGGAGAAGAAGGGATGAGAGGATTTGAGGAGAGCTTCTTCCACGTTGAAGATTAGGGTTTTTTCACCGTCGTTCCGCTCACCGTTCGGAAGTTTCGCCACCGGAGATGGGTGTTTCTGGTACTTCCGGTGAACGGCGGCGGTGCGGTGGAATTTCTTGAGGAAGAGGGCTTTGAGGAGGAAGAAAAAAGAAGTGGACATTTCGACGGCTTTTGTCATCTTTTTTGTTTATTTTTGGAACTGTCTGAAAAAACAAAAGACGAGATTGGTTTATTTATAGGGTTTTGGATTGAAGATTGCCATTGGTCGAGGTTTTAATTACAAAATTTGCCATTATGATTGCTTGTTTAAGAGTTAAGACTAGAACCAGCTATACCAATTGGTCCAATTCCCTCGCCTATGACTCGTCTATGCCATTTAATGTCACACGTAGTTGACCATTTGAGTCAATAAATTTCCCTCCAAGGAAAACCCAAGTAATAATTTGAAGTAAATGTAAAAGTCATACTCCCAGTGCCATTTGTATGGTAGAGGGGTATTTTGGGGATATTTAAATTCTCAGAGTTCTGATTGCATACTAATCCGTCTCCGAAAAAACAATGGAGATTTGTTTATTTTGGCTGTCTTTCGAGATCCGACCTTAAACGGAGGATGAAGGCTTAGCTAAAAGTATGCCAACATTCATCTCTAGTGTTGCTCCAATTTTTGGAATCTCTCTAGTGTCTAAAGTTACTGAATTGAGTGAATTGAGTTAATCTGCCATCCCTATCTATAAGCAAGTTGGTGCACATGGGTACAGGCTATGTTGGATGATTCGTCTCGTTCAGATGTGTTGACCACTCTTTCGACCAAACCTTGAAGGGAGAGGTAATGATTGCTAGAACAAGTTGGTGCACATGGGTAAGGGTTTGATTCGATGATTTATCCTATTCAAGTATCTACAACTARAAAATATTAAATTCTCTTTCAAGTAGACTTTAAAAGGAGATAAGGATCATTCGAATGAGACAAATAATCTATATGAATTCACCAACCGAATTAGTATCCTATTTCTAGAACGTCAACCACCGGTAAATTAATAGTAAGGAGATCAAGTAATACATATATAGCAATCCATTTTTAAAATGTTGACTAAGAATTTAAAAAAGGGACAGGGATGCAAATTAGAGTTTAAGAGATGGCGGCTGACCATTTCTTCAATCAACCATGGTGCTAGGAAAGTACACTTTTGAGGCTGTACGATATATGGTGCTTATTTGGCTATCCCAAAAAACCCCAACAAAACCAATCTTTTTTGTTCGACTAATTAATATCAATCGGTTCGGTTTGATACGATTTCAAAGTTGAAAATGCCACATCAATTGGACTTTAGTCTATTTTGAATGCTTTTTGTAGGTAGGGTAATTACTTTACTCGGGATTTTGTTTTTCCGAAGTCAATATGTTGGGTCGGTTAATTTCAAGGAGGAAAATAAATAGAGAAGATAATAAATAGTATTTTATTGAATTGAATGGCTTAAAATACAAGCCTAAGGCTATTTTTTCCTAATATAATTTCTAATCCTAATTCAAATAGAAAATTTAATTCAAAATTATATCCTAATATTAGGATAAAATACAAACCTCATGACTCATTTTTTCCTAAAAGTAGAGATGAAGGAATATTATTTCGAATAACAGATATACTCTATAAATTTTATTTCTAATACCATGCTACATAATATTCTTAGCTAAATTTTTAAAAGTGTCTGATAAAGTTTTTAATTTTCAATGTTGTCAAATATTTATAAACACCATATTTATAAATATAAATATATTCTGAGCTAAATATCAAATATTTTATACAACATTGAAAATTTAATAACTTTATTAGACACGTTTAAAAATTTAGGAATTTATTAAACACAATTCTAAAAGTTAATGAACTAAACTTATAATTTAACCTATCATACATCAAGATCATATATAACAATTAACATATATATATGTGACACTCCATATACTCTCTATTTAAATCTTGAAATATTTTACACTATTTATAATAAAGGTTTAAGATATAATGAGATTATTGTTTCATTGTTGTAGCCATGTGTTAAGATCTTGAGTTTGATGAAGTGAATCTATCAAAATTTTAGATACCCAAATCTTTAAATTCATTTGATCATGAGCTTTATTATATTTATTTCACTTTCAATAATCCTCACAACATTTATAAATATTGTATTTTAGTTATGAACTTTGTGCCTAAATTGGGATGAATAATTTTAGTATATTTCTTTGAGATTATGAAAATGATGGAATGGGTGTGTCTCACAGTGAAGGGTAGATATGTACTATACCTTCTAATGGGGGTTGATGTTCCCTTGAATATATAAGTGTACAGTATTGAGTTTTAATATCCTGAGACAAACGTTATTAAATATTTACTTTCGTAAGTAATATTATTGATTAATCATTACTTTAAATTTAGGACCTGTTTGACTGAGGATGTTGTTTTTAAATTTATGTGTTAAAAAAATTATGCATACTCTTTCACAAATTTTTTTGAAAGGTTCAATTAAAAAGTTCTTGAAATATGGTTTAGATTTTGAAAACGTGGTAAAAAGTAGATAACATTAAAAAAAAAAAAAGAAAAAAATACATATGGGTGAAAGTAGAATCTTTAATAAGCTTAATTTTCAAAAAATAACAAAAATCGAAACATTCAATTCAATATTCTATGTCGATCAAAAACAACTACTAATTACCGCTGAGTTAAATTCAAGTTGGCATAAGACCTCAGATTATATGTAACTACATGCCTCTCTCAAATTGATCCAAAGAAACATTTGGTTTAGTTCCATGAAAGATGGGGAAGCGTTAAAAATTTAATACTTTTATTCTGTATAATCATAATTTTTTAAAACATTTTAGACTCATAACTCATAATTTAAAAAGAAAACTAAAAAAAAGGATTTCTTTTTCTTTTTCTTTTTGTTTATTTATTTGTTAAAGGAGATGAAAAAGTGTTAACAGGGTGGCTTACGTGTGGGGTTGATCAGCAAGTTGGGATGAGGAGGCTCCACCATTCTCTCTCTCATTAATGAACCTTTAAGCCCATTTTTTAGACCAAAGAAACTTTCTTCCAAAAGGAACCCTCTCAATTCTTCTCCTTATCCCAAAACATGACTTTTCTAAAATAGATTTTGCTATATTTTCATCCCTCTTTCGAGTGGTTTAGGTTGCTTCTCTCGACGATGAAGTTTATCCTCCATTATTTTGCTGGTTATGTTAGGATGATGGAACCAAAATACGAGTTTAGAGCCTAGTGGACGTGAGAATACAGTATTGAGACGTTATAATGAAAACAAGATAGCATACAAAGAGAGAGTAACGGTGCGACACTGTTACAAAGACGGAAAAGAGGACGCTACAAGTTCGTAGTGTTGAGACACCAGTGCATAAGCATAAAAGAAGAGTGTAGTGTAGTGCAACATTGAAAGAGAGAGAAGGAATTATTGTAGAGTTTTTGTTGGGCATATCGTTCTTGTGAGTTCAGTGAGGGCAAATCAATATAAATTATGGTGTTAAGTTTTCTATCCCAATCTTGTATTTTCTTTTGTATTACTTATCTATGATCGACCTTCTCAGAGAAATTAGAATTAAAACCTATTTGAATTGCTCTATTAGTTTCAAGATAATTATTTTCCACTGTTCAATTATGTATTTTAAAAAGTTTCTAAAGAATTTATAAACTATTTGGTGTCTAACTAGTCTTTCAAATTTAAAAGTTTTTAATAAATTTCTAAACTGAATGGTAGGAAGTATGGATAATAAAATGGAGTTATATTATATAATTTTTTAAAATAAGTTGGACATAATATTTTTACATAAAAATGTCAAGTGGGTCTAGCTCAGCGGTAATTAGCATGTACCTCCAACCAAGAGGTTATCTCGTCCCTAATATGTTGTACTAACAAAATATTTTTATTTAAAATTTAAAAGTTGGAAGACCAAAATTAAAATTCAAAAGGAAATTT